ATATTATTAAAGGAGCTACACAACTTAATGAAATATACTATGATGATATGGATTTAAATATTTTAAATGAATTAATCAATGAATGTTTACATTTATAAGCACACATAATACAACTGGCTGACGATAAGCAAAAAAATGTTCCCAAACATATACATACATCTWCTGTGGTGACTAACTGTTCAGCTGATGAACGTTCTTTTTCTTGYTTGAAAAGAATAAAAAAATATCTATGATCTACGATGTCACAGGATCGATTAAATGCACTTGCTATACTAAGTATTGAACATGAATTAACTAATCAGTTATCATATGACGACATCATTGGAGACTTTGCGAAAAAAAAATCAAGACGTAAGACTATAATCTGAAGAATATGAAAAATAATTATTTGTTCGTATTTTTTTTTTTTTGTAATATGCTTAAGGAGTTTTCATTCATTAATAATAGTGTACCTAATATGTATTGATTTTATGTTTTTATTTTATCAATGATCATTTTTTACATGGGGTGTGGAGGGTTTTAACGTATCACTTACAGAAGTAAAATATCAATACCTATGAAAATTAGGCGGYAAATTTATTTCAGCCTATGGGCGGCAAAAACCTTAATCCGGCCCTGTGAGTAGCTACAAATTAAATATGATGKTTGAAAAGTTGTATTCAACGAAATAGAGCAATTTTAGTTTTTATATTATATGACTAATTATTATTTAAAATTAATACTGATATTTGTTATTTTTTAAGAAAAAGGTAGATTTATCGGTTCTTGTGTATAATAAAATAATAATAAAAACCAAAAAGTAACATCCGTTGTGAATACCACGCAAACCTACGATTCAGTAACATTATTAGACATAATTTATTATAATATGTCTTAAGTCACAGACTTACAAAGTTACAAATATTCTTAAACAAATATACATGTACCTAAACATGTGCACGACCTTCACAGCCGATAACAAATCTAAAACCGGGAATTTATTTATTTTGTAATTTATTCATGACATCAAAGAAGTTTAAAGAAACAAAACGAAAAATACAAAATAAAATAAATGGAAATTCAATAGTTGTSGAGCGTGAAAAAAAATCTTAAAACCATAATATTATCACGGATAACAATGGCACCGGTGCAAAAGCGTAGGTTCGTTTATATATACAATAACATTTTTGTTTGTTCTCGTGCTCGGATATAATGGCCATTATAATACATAAGACATAACATTGTATTATTGTTCTTGTACCTTACAGATATTGTTTTAAGGGCTACGAAAATAGTGGTTGAACGTTTATTTTACGATTTCGATCTCTTATGTAGGTAGGTATACGATATATTGCGTACCAATACTAACATTCGTTGGAATGGACGAAATTTTATTTTGAAGTTGAAAAATTTACAAATAATTTTCAAATCCTTTTTGCTTAATAACTGGAAAATATTCTAAGTGTTTTATGAAATTMAATTTGATATCGGTCAACGGGAATAGGTGCAGTTTAYACAAACTGTAAATTTTTGTATGGTATTATTGTCGTTTTAATTCCTATTCATTTGGTTCAGTCTTGGAGATAATTAAAAAGTWTAAATTATTGCATCTTTAAATTTTAACAAATTTTATATGAATTTGCTATTTTGGGAATCGATTCATTTTTTAGTAACACGCCGCATATCATCAAAAATAAATTTCAAAAACAGTTTCATGTTTCTAAACATAAGGTTAGAACTTAGAACACCTTATAGTTTATAATACTCCAGCTGTGTGCATCTGAGAATAATTAGACTTATTTAGTGTACTAAATATTATATACATTATTTTTGATTGTTGGTATTAAGATATTTATTTATTTCACATAAATAATTAAAGGAGATGTGGCTTAATACTTTAAATATACTGTTGAAAATGTTGAAATATGTTTGGAATTCGAGAATTTATCACGATCATAGAGTTCTAACATGTTTTTTTTTATACATAAATTAATATATATGATTCAATAACTGTGTGTTAAATCTGTTTTATGGTAATATTATTTTTTTTAGTAGAATTATTGTACTTTGAGTATGACTATATTGACGGCATACACGTATAGGTAATATATGTTTCTTATCTGGTTTTGCTCATTATCCTCTGTGAAATTCAGATTATGTACAGATATATATATATATATACAGAAGGCGTTTTGATAATATATACTTATAGGCTATATAATACCATTAATACACGTAAATTAAACGAGTTCAMAAACACTCCCTTCAAATTCGTAGCGTTAAATTGAATCTCCCTTTGGAACCCCATAACTACAATCCAATTCGCATACCCTCTCAACTTGTCGGCTTTGGCCACAAGAAATGAAGCGGTGGATTTATCATTCATATACAATCTTATCAATGGCCAAATTAATTATCTGTATGTACTCGTATTAGAACATATTCAGTTTAAAGTCCATCTTCATCATCATAATTTTCTACATYTCATGTCATAGTACTAATTTAATTATAATACTCACCCGACTGGGTGACTATATAGGTGACTACTTATATTAAATCTATGTCTCTATATATGCAATATAATTATTAGGATAATTCTTGGCTTTGGTTGTTTCTCAGACCCATTAAATATGAAAACTAGTAAAGTTTTACGCTGTATTTTATATTTTTTCAAAAATCTATATAATTAAATCGTGATTCKTGGGTAATTATAATATACTAATATAGTAATATTAGACATCTGTTATTATTAATTAGTAATTACCTTTTTCATTTAAATTACATTACTCTATCRTAAAAATAAAAATATCATTTGTACTCTGTTTTATTTGACCTGAAGTTATACTTAATTTAAGTACTTATCTGTTCAATTGGGATTGCGACCGTTTTGTATAAATTAATAAATATTATTATTTATTATAACTTTTCAATTTGTTATAACCTCTCAAATGGGGTCGGTGGGGTAATGGGGAGAAACAATATTCGCGATGATGCCGACGATTTGGGAGTAATCGAGATTAATACAATAATTATCATCGATGCCAATACGTATTATTAACTGGAGACACCGTTTTGTATTCGAGTTATGACGACTCCGCAGTGTAGTATAGTAAATTAATATAAAATGTACCTGTACGGGTTTCCTGCACGCGTGGCGTCATAATTATACACGTGCCTATAATTGCGTGACTCGCGGTGATGTAATGTCACTAGTAATGAAATTKACCAACGCATTACCCTACGGGTGGGTTGTAGTACGAAGGTATCGATTTTTTAGGTTGCAGTGATCGTGTACAGTACACGACATAACTTTGTAAATGACGTAATATGCGCAAAAAACACTCATTTATAATACAATACAATATAAAATMTATAGATTATAGGTGTATRCTATACGAATGTTCAGGATTTAGACTAGTACAGGATCGCAAAGGTTAGGTTAGGCATTTTGAACGTTCGATACGTGTAAACTTAAATAATTCTTATTACTTTTAATTTCATTATGTCTTCGCGACCGACAGAGTAGGAGGGTCTCTGAGTTCATTAGTACTTCTAATATTTAAATTATAGTACCTACACGATATTATTAATTTAATTAGTATGGAAATTTCTCACTTTTTTTTAAATCTATACTGCCATTCGTTCATACATAATTTAAGCAGCCGTGCTTAATTTTTGTACAACAAAATATAAATATTTAATTATAATTTAAAAAAAAAATGTTTTTGAAACAGAATAATTTAAAAAAATATATAACTACCTAATAGCATGGATTACATATAAATAGACAGTATAAAACTCAATAAAAGGCATACTAGGCAACATCAATACAATCATTTGTTGCTTATTATTTAGATTTAACTCACTAATGGCGAATTTTCGGCAGGAGGCGAGTAGGTACTTATTTCTTACTTCCACCAGCCTCAATGTGACACTTTAGTGAGTCAAATTCAAATTAGTATAAAAATCAAATAATGAACGAAAAATGATTGCATCGTCTTAATTAATTATTATTTAGTCTAAGCTAATAAGAAATATTCATTATTTRTATTACCTTTAGGACGTATATTAAATATATTAATTTTATACACCTATACGCAAAATATAGCAAAACAAAATGTAATACATTTAATAAAACAAAACATGTTTCTATCATCATATTAAATATAATAAAAAATATATAATATGCGCATGCATAGCCCATGTTACGTTTTGTCTTTTGGCCATCATACATTTTATATTTTGTATTAGTTTGTGTGTGTTAAATGACCCTCCCCCCCTTATAAGGCATTACGAGAATTTAGTTGTACATCATTATCTTGTGAACTGATGCATTCTAGGTATACTGAAAATAATAATAAATAAGACTGATTCATAGATTGTCGGGAAATCGGAGCAACGATTTGTGTTATTAAAATAAAAAGATRTAAGTAACAGAATATTTTCGTCAAACCGGGCACGTCCTGTTAAACTTTATTTTTATTGTTCAATAGAAACGCGATTTTATTTATTAATTTTACTTGTGACGTGTTATAGTCTATACTGTACACACGTTATGTATTTTATATAGATAATAATAAATTACGAATATTTCAACAGATACTTGCCTTATTTTTTTTCGTCCATTTTCTATGTGGGTCAGCCGGCAGGTGTATGAGTATTGAACCATCCTGTGCCGTGCCATCGCTGTCTGGAGAAGGACCGACTGGTCCAGGCCAAGCCACCGATGCAGCTGTCTTATTCTGAAACATTTATAATATACCCAAATGACAAGAATATCGTTGTATTTGTGTGCATGTGGTTTGTAGATGGACTTAGGAAACAATTCATACGCACGAAACACGAAAAATGTTTAAATTAAATACGGTCTCGAACTCTAGCTTTTGAATCGCGTATATATTATAGAATAATATTTAAGCAATTTTCATAAAACTATTTATCTGATATCTCCAAAATTCAATTTCGTTTTGTAATACTTTGAGGTTTGGTTATCGAAATCTCCAGTATTAGGGTATACAATTTTAGTCCATTAAATACGATATAAACAAATATTTTGAAATTAATATAAGAAAAAGTATGAAATTGTCATTATAATCGTAGTCGTAGATTTATGATATTCAAGTATTAACTGTTAAAAATAATAGACATATATCTAAAAATATATTTTACTCTTTATTATTAATTATTAAATAAAGTTTTTGTAAATTTAATTTTGATTTTTGTGATAATTACATTTGTAGAAGTATTAAAATTAAACATGTGCCTATTAAAAATAACTGCTTCAGTGCTTATTAGTTATTGTTGAGTAATAGATTTAATAAAATTAATTTATGTACTTTTTGATTCTCCTATTATATTTTATTGATAACATGCCTTGTAAATACTAAAATATATTTGATTCTATTTTGGTTTAGCCTATTAAAAATAATAATTTAAAAATATGTATTACAAATACCTTATACAAATATAATATAGATAATCCGTATAAAAGATATCTTATAATGATTATAATATAATAATATATTTTAATATCTTTTAATTTGAATAAATAAACATTTTATCTTCTGTAAGGAATTATACTGAATGGCCAATTTCTTGAACATTGTTATAGGATTTTCTTAATTTTGAAGCGTTTGTGAAGTAGTTTTTGTAAGGTTGACATGAAATGTCGCGGGAGTTAAATACTATTAAAATAAATCCAAATTCGTGTTTCTTAACAATCTACATTTTATGCGACATTCGTGATTTAAACAAAGGACTATGGTAATTTTGAGATAAGCATAACGTTGCTCCAGGGTACTCCTTTATAAATTAGGTACCTACTTTTACAACGACTACAAAAACACAGTGTACTTAAAATATAACTCACAAAGTGAATTGGTGTCAGATTCAGCAATTTATTTTACACTGCTATTCTAACAAAATTAATGAAATTTAAATTGTTTCTCGCATTCAGTATATAATAAAAATCCATTAAATCAATACCGATTTTTAAAAATGTTCCTATATTATTTATAATGTATAGGTGAATTTCGGTCCTACAGAATATTATAATGACATTAAAATATTCAATTTACTCTTCTTCATATAATTCATAAATAAGGTCTCTTTTGTCGCAATTGCAGTAATTAAATATGTGATGACTGATGATATTATAATTAAATCCTAAAAAGTAGATTGTACCTTTTGTATGTTTATCAAAAAGAATCTGAAATGAAAAAAAAATTATAATATAAAGGTAACATATTATGTTTTTTTGAAGTATTCCTCTATTAACTAATTGCTTACTTAATGATTAATTTTGAGATAACTGTAAGTATAAAATGTAAAAAAAATGTATTAAATTGTATTGTAATTTTAAATAACTGACAAATTAATAAAATATAAATAAATATAAAATTAAAAAAGTGGGTAAGTGGCAGTGGCGTCATTTGGGGGGGGGGCAACTTGGGCAATTGCCCTAGTCTAACATTTACAACAACTTTAAGTCGGCACATAAAAAAATTATAAGAAGTTTTATATTTAGCTCGTTAAGGCTATTGTAATGAATCATTCAATCATATAATATTGATATTTTGATTAATAAATAAATTTATAATTATTTTATCAATTATAATATTACTCATAACAGAACAGCCACCGTGTCCGAGTGGGACAGTTGGTACTTGRCGCTCACGCATTTAGATTTTAGACACTAGACTCTGACAGTTGGCGCTCTGCAAAGTACGTACCTATTTCGTTCAAGCAAGAATTATTATATTTTAAACATTTGGTGAAAATTTCAAGTATTTACAGTGATTAGWTTTTGAATTACAACCATATAAAAAAATCGATTTGGTCAAAAACTGGTTTTGCGTAAAAATTCCCGTTTTCTGTCACTTTTTTTTGTTTTTCTCGATTTTTTTGAAAACTGTTGGAAAATGTTTACTTTTGACCTCTATAATGCACCAAGGATATTCACTTTTCCATCGGAAACCACCCCCCAAAGTTTGAAATTGAAGCATTATTTTGGCTATAGTTATAGTTATGCTTCACACAGAAAAAAACATACATCATTGTAAAATCAATACATTCATCATCACTCCGTTCAGAATCTAAAAATAAACTGTTTTTTTTTTTGTATTTTTTAATGAAATTTATTATTATATTATTAATGTTGAGAATGCCAAAATAGGTGTATTTTATCATGGTGTTGAGTATTTAGGTATGACTGTAAATATTTTTAACCTATAACGATTTATCATAGAATAAATTATTAAAAAATGTATTAGTATTATTTTAATTTTATTATAATCAATGCTATAACCTATTYATTATTTATTTTCACATTTCTCAATAATTGTACTATTCGTCATTCTATTAAATATGCCACAAAAATGTTTATATTTATACTTTAAAATCTGGTATGTGATGTTCAAATACCTGAAAATTTACCCCCCCCCCCTCTCACGTACTATGGATTTTATTCTATGTGAATCTGTGTGAAAAAAATTTTGATTCGGCAAATCAGTGAGTGGATGCCTTAGTCTAATAAAAACTGAAATGACGCCACTGGTAAGTGGATGTCGCTTTGCAGTACAGTATAGTTTACAAGTGGRCTACTGTAATGGATGGTATTGCATTTGAATTCAATGATATAAATATATGATATCATTGTAAACGAAAAATGGTTCTGAGTGGAGACGATTTGTCAGTCTAGGATATGTTATACGATATTAATTATATTGTTATTATTTTTTTTAAAAAAATGTAGGTATCTACCTATAAAATAAATTCGAAGTTAATCAAATCAGATTCATTGTGTTCCCGATTCACTCAGTCATGCATAGTGTATACATTTATTATAAAGTATTAATAAAAGTCATTAACCAGAATAATTATTACAATTACAATATAAAGTATACTCTTGAAATTTTAAGTACCTACCCACGAATAATATTTTTAAATTACAATTATATAACTAAAATTGTTATTCTTGGTTATTTAATATGTAATTTCATCTATATTTGAACATAAAATGACTATAAAAATTAAAAAACTGTGTTTGTGTAGGTTTTTGATTTGTTTTTGCCAAAGAATTATATATTTACGTGGAACCTTGTTTTAAATTTTCATTTCTTATCTATAAAAATTGATCGTTTTATAAATTTTTAACAACTAAAGAATTTGTAAATTTTCAATTAAACAAATTTTGAAGTTTAAATAATTATAATAAATAATTATAAAAAAAAACATGCYTACGTATTTTAAATATTTTCTAATTGCTATATTATATTCACTTATAGGGAACCTTGTATTACATTTTTAAGTTTTATGACCCAATGAATAACATTTTATTCACATGTATAGAAGAAAAAAATTAAAAGATGGAAAATTTCAAATGTCTATAAATAACTTAAAAATATTTGTATTACTTTGAAAATTTTATCATGTATAGAAAATAGTATAATTATTCAGCGAAAATTGAATGTGTATACGGTAATTTGTTACAGAGTTACACCAATTTTAAAATTCRATTTTCTCAATAATTGATTTTGCGTGAAAAATCCCGTTTTTTCTTATTTTTTTTCCTGGTGCTTTTGAAAACCATTGAGAATTTCAATATTTGWCCATCCAAATGCACCAACTAGATTCATTTTCCAACCGGAAAAGCTATTGAAGAAAATCAAAGCATTTTTTCGACAATTTATCACGTAAACAGATTTAAAAAAAAAAACACAACATTGTAAAATCAATACATTCATCGCTCCGCTCAGTATTTAAAATGAAATAAAGAATATAATAGGTATCGTATTATCGTAATATATTATATTATATTTTATTAGCTATTAGTAATTTATTGTACCTATTCTCTTTTACATTTCACAGGTTTGCAGCAAAYATAATAATATAACAAATAAGGTGATTCAAATTAACTTCCTAGTTTAATCCGTAATCAAGGTTTTTCCAAATATCATATACTTGAGCATAAAATTAAAATGAAAACTCACTGGTTATATCTGTAGGTATATTATAAAGCGTAAGCGTGGAATCTCTTAGACCGCAAGGGAATCACGTTTACGTGCGTAATGTGAAATTATTTAGGAAAAACTTGGTGGAAAGTTTTCACTTTCAATAAAACTGCAGCACACCTCACGGGAGTGATGCACGTATATACGGTTTGAGACCAATGAACTTTTTGAATATGAAATGGAATAAATCAAAACGTTTGACACTCCTACGCGTAGGTATAGTGTTATCCGATATCTTCTTATCATCTACCAACTACACATTACAATTGTATAATATTTTACAATAACGTCGTAGCGCGGTACACGAAGTTACAACAACTGTTGTGCGCTTAAACTTACATTCGAAACTTTTACAGCAAAAACGACACGAATTAGCCACTGTCGCCTACTCAACGAAACGGATTGCAGACGGCAAACCGAATCGCACACGTATTATTATTATACTACCTATCTATATATTAGTGTATAGTGCAGTGGCGTCGTGTCTTAATCGAATTTAATTCTCACGTGGGTAGAGTAGGAGGTGCGGGTTTGTCCGACCCGGTAGACCGCACAAAGTGTGTGTGGAGGTGTGGCGTGAGTGCATAATGTTTGTCCCAGTCAATTTATTGTAAAAACCATTAAAACGGTGCTAGCTAGCATTTTCGGTCTCTTTTTGAGTGTGTGTGTGTGTGTGTTTTCTATAGAGTGATATAAAAGCGGTCGTTTGATTTGTGTCAGAGCGAACGGAAGCGTCGTCAACGCCTCGCGGCAATTGACTATTTCCCTCTTTGAATTGGATACATAATTTATATAAGAAAATAAGAAAAACCAACACTACCTTACCGGACGTTCGTGTAAACGGAGTGTGTGGCGTACATAACGTCATCAATCGTCGCTTCCACTCATGATATATATTATAGACGTTAGTTTACGACATTATAATTATTACTCTGAGACAATATTAATGTATAATATACGACAATTTTTAGTATAATTACACGGGTTATTAAATGTATGGTTTTCTGGATACCGATGATGAGTAGACACTTTAGACAGTATATAGCAGACGAGTGACAACTGTAATAAGTACTTTGAGTGAAAACTATGTTTCAACTATAACGTTATAATAATGTTATGACGAACTCGTGGATTTTTAATTTCCTCTCCGTGTTTTAAGCTATTTGCAAAATGTGCATTAAACATTTTGAATTTTCAGTTATCATAAGTATCATATCATTCATATCGCTTATCGAATATCTACCGTACAGATGAACACTGCATTAGTAACATAATATATGATTATGTTTACTCCCGAATTCATTCTTCACTCGGGCATTAAAATAATCAATATTGTGGACAAAATGTTCATAAAATCAAAATTAAACTCAAGTTTGTTTTGAATTGTAAAAAATACAGTATAATATTAAAAAGACGTGGTACCTGGCGTACCTGCACGTCTTGTCCCCGTCTTAAAAAATATGTTAACGTAGAACACAGTGGCGTAGCCAGGGGAGGGTTTTGGGTGTTATAACCCTCCCCCTCAGCCGTATTTATATCAAAAATATAATGTTTATAATATAGGAATACAATCATTTGGTCGTGGTAAAATGTATTCTGTTATTAAAACCCCCCCCCTAAAAAAAATCCTAGCTACGCCACTGGTAGAACATAACAAAAACAGTTTTGCGCGGGACAAATTTATTATAGTTCTGTCTGTATTAATAATAGAATTTCCAAAAATCCACAACGCATAAGGAAGAACTTTATCTGTGACTTGGCGTTTTTATTATTTTGATAATATAAATACAATTAAAGCTTTCAGTTAAAGAACATTAGGTTTCTTTTGTTTTTGTTTTTTTTCATTAAATTATTAAAAACTATAGATAAGTGCTATCAAAAAAAACTAAGACGTTACATCACTGATAATGTTCTTCCCTACTATAAGTTTCGGAATTTTGTTAACTCAGGCTATAAATAAAGAGATAGTAAAGTTGTCCTACGTAAATCAATTTTCACTAAGATGTGCATTTGTAGACCCACGGGTATCACGTCCTCTTGAAAGAAAAAAATATATTTCCAACTCCCACCCTTAGCATCCAAGCACGGGTGTTCCAACCTAACCTATGATCCCTCTTGGGGGGAAAAAAGTATCCCAAAAGTTTATTCTACATTCAAGTGTTAGAATAATAATTATTGTTCAATACTAAAGAAGTCCGTCCTTATTTTGTTTTTCAAATTCAACCATTAACTGTATTTTTAGCAAAATTGTTCTAAATATATATACACGTGATATACACTCTACACTGTCTACTCGTTTTCATATTTTATTCTTCTATCACCATCATTAATATTTTTTGATAAATATTATGTATTTTATGTGCTTTTGGTGACTGAGAACTCGATTGTAGCAAAAATTGGACCGCAACCAATTATTATTGTGCGTATATAAAAATATGATGGGGGACATTACATTGTCTGTGTTTGGAATTTTTTTCCCAAAAACCAATCGGCTACAGCCCATTTGTGATCGGGAGACGTAGGTCGTAGATAGATGCGCTTGAAAGATAAGGTACTACCTACTGATCTATAACCCATATATGCCCTCATTTCGCATACGATTTTGCCGTTATGATTCATAAAATGGATTATATATATCTTTATAGAATCCATAATATAGGTACTTAGATTAAGTGATTAGTAGATTGTAGTACTTTAATATTGTCTTGTTTGTAATTTTGTCAACATTTTTAATTTAAATCTTCAATATTATTTGATTCATGATTATGCTGTCTTTAATATCGATTAATGTTGATTTTGAAAAATTCATTTTTAGATACGCACTAAAATTTTTTTAACGCAACGTAAACTTATATTTCCCTAAACCAAATTTCTACTAAAGTGGATTTTAAAATTAATTGTAGTAAAATATATTATTAGTGTTTATTGTTTTAAAATACACGCACATTAACTCAAGTATAACACTATATAGTCAACGATTTGTAGTTTATGTATGGTTGCACAAGGCATACACAGAGAAAAATGAGAGCAGTCGTCATGATGCACTACAATCAACAAAAAAGTACAAAATGTTCCTATATTGGCTATATTCAATAATATATATAACAGTGTAATGTACAAATGAAAAAAAAATTAAATTGATAGATAATAATATGTAGGTACAATAGTTACAACTTATAAAGGTAATAATAAGTCGTATTGCATTGTATTTCAGAATACAGTTCGGAAACGTTGCATACGTCCCTTTATTGTTATTTCATTATTATTTATATAAAACTATTATTTCTAGTCGTAGTGTAATTCCAACTATACTATGTACCACTGGGCCCAGGCCCGTTTTGTTCAATTATTTAATTATTTGAATAAACATTATTATTATTATTATTATTATACGGTTTTAACGCAGTTTCATTAAAAATATTTCGGGTGAAAATGGGTTATAAAAAAGGTGTGTTGGGTGCAAATGGGCTGTATCGGATCAATCGACCTAAATCTGTACGGCTGCACTTGCATAAAATAATTCGTCATGCGTATACATACCCACGTGGTAGGTGGGAACTCCGGGAACGGGGCGATGTTCTTGGTGGCCACGTGACTGGGCAATTGGAACCTATCCCTACGGATCCTCTTCACACGGATCTTTTGCCTCTCTCGTATGTACAGTGCGGCGTGCATGCCTGAGCTGGCCATCACTGGTGCTCACCGCGGCTCGGGAACTCTTTCGGTCGCGACCGGTACGTCATCATCGTTTCCGGTGTGGTCGCCGCCGCCGCCACGGCATCCGGTCCGACGTCCATCCGTTTATCGTGCACTTCCGTGTGACTGTTGTCCTCGGTACGCCAGGTGTACAACACCGCGGAGACGGTCGTCCGCCACGGTTTGGACGCTCCCACGACGGAACTGGGAGAGCGGCGACGGCGACCAAAACGACTCTAAAACAGTCGCGACGAAGGACCTCCGCACCTGTTAGTATAAAGTGTTTTGTTTTTCGTCTCTATCGTGTTTATTTATTTTTTTTTTATCCGGGACGCGAAAAACGTCATTACACCGACACCAACGTTTTGCCGACCAATAACGCGCGTGCGCTGTATATTATGAAGACAATCATCGACCAGGAAGTCGTTACGATAATCTACCTATATACATAATATATATATGTACGTACGTGTTTAAACTTCAAATTATAAATATAGAGAATAAATGGCAGATTTACAGTGGGGTGAGGGTGGTCCAGTCAGTGTTTATAATATATTTAAAATTATGTACGATCTTTTTTAATTTTTATATTCTTATAAATGCACAAACTATATTATTATACTGTCTTTTATTATCGAGTCCGTAAATGAAGGAGTACACCCTATACAAGTTTCAGTAAATTATAGTTAACCTATTTCAGTTCCCCACTCATCGCTTACGTTAAACTACGGTTCTAAAAATGTAAGGAATAACGTTAAAACATTCTGTACAGTACCTGGAATAGGTGGCATGGGGAGTAGGAATGAGAAAGAGACAGTATTTTGAGTGTGTCATGGTGCAGGGTGGAGAGTGAAAAAGAGTGCGGTAATCTAGTGGCGCACTGCAAAATCAAAAGGTTAATTCGATGTCACGGTTTAACGTCGAATAAATGACTACTATAATATAAACATAATACCTAAATATATACATACGACGAACAAAAAAAAAAAAAAATGGATACGCTATAGGTTATAATAACTTATAGGTATAATAATATACTGTATTGCGTCGATGGACGTGTGATTGATCGAATTCGATCGATTTGTTTTTTTCTGTTTCGAAAGTAATTATAACCTTTTGGTTAATTGACCATCGGAGCTCGTGTAATATTATATATATATATATATATATATTACATATTATACGCGCACCTACACCATCACGAGCACACTTTTTTTTCCACTACGCTGGGTGGAACCCATGGGGCTTACAATAACGATTTTAATTAATTATTTCGTCTCTGTGTACACATCTATATTATGTACCTACATAATAGTATAAAGTGTATGTATTATTAAGTCCTCGTTCTAATTTGTAATTCGACACTTCCAGCCCTATCCCAGAGGATGCCTGGGTGTATTGTTAATATATTTTGACAACCACGATATTATAAATAACACTAGAAAACATACAAACTATAAATTATTATTATAATAATTATATTAAATAGACTACAAATTACTATAATTATATCTGAACCACGTATAGTGTATAATATTGTAAGTTAATCCCCACGGAAATCGAGCATATGTTTATAGTGTTTATACTACGTTTCAACACGTCGTTGTTCGCATATTAATTATTATGTTGAGAAATATGTTATTACTTCAATATTTTTATTATTATTATCTCTAACAATATTGATCACCAAAATAAGAAAATCACGTAACACGCCGATCGTACATTTTTGCTTCTATTTTTGCAAACTACATTTTTATCAATAAAATATGATTTTAGCAATAAGATAAAGATAACACTTGTTCTAGACAATCCATTTCCCCAAACTATGTGTGACATAAGGCACAATGACGACGATTGTCTATTAAAGTATTATTGTACAATATCGATAGCTGATAAATTTCTACGTTCAATCTGTAAACGAAATACTCGTGAAATAATTCATTTAATAACTTGAATGTTTGAATTTTTATCTTAAACATCGTGCCTAACTTAACTATATTTATACTATACATATACGTCTTTAAAATTAATTAAAATACGTACATTTTTAAATCCTAAAATGCTAAACYGAGAAATCGTTAAAAAAAAAATTACAAATCGATGATTAAATTTTTTTCTTCTAACGATATACGATAAAAAAAAAAAACTTTGAAAAAAAAGATTACCACTAATACAACGGAAGTTTGCAAACAACTTTTCGATTTGTAGATTATGACGTTAATATTTTTGTCATTAAATATTTGATGACATTTCATATTTTCTACTACCATCGTGTAATTTTAATAACAAGTGACAACGCGTTAATATAACATAAAATGTTAAACCACTCGGTGGGACATATCAAATTTTGAAGAAAATTGTCAAACAAATTACTTTGAAAATTATAAAATTATACTAACGTCAAAAAATATAAAACACAAAACAATTTAGTCCGCTGTATATGTATAGTGATGACAAGCGATGTGCATTAACCACGTGTGTTATTATTTTCATGACAACCCAGCTCGAAACAGATTTCTTGGCTTTTTAATGACAGTCTTCTAAAAATGCGGCGGAATTTTGACATGATAATCCATACCACAGCTTATATACTTCTTGAAAATGTAATATTTCACTACAGGTGATGTATATGTATAACATACATATTTACCTATATTATTATATACGCAGACATAATGCATATTTAATGACGTGTGTATGCTCACGTGTTTGAGGTCTAGTAAAAAGACTGTTTATTATGTTATTGCCGATTTACATAATGTAGATTTTTATAATATCCGTTATTATTTGACAAGATAAAAAAATATCTTCAACGTGAATAAAAACAGTCTTTTTATTGCAATTTTAAAAACGAATCTACTGTCAATTTTTTTTTTACTCAATAGCAATCACAATCGACTGTAGTCGTGCAAGTATACAATATTACGTTTCAAAATCATTTTGACATAATATTTATTTAATGAATCAAATACTACTTTTAAAATGAAAAATATTTCCAGCAAGTATTCAGTAAGAGTGATTTCAAGGAACAGTCACATACATCTTGTACATAATATATATAAATATAAAAGTAGAATAGTGCAATACCAATAAACTGCAGGGAATAAATATTATTTAAGACTTAAATATACATTTTATAGGCTTATAAGGAAAAATATCAATTATTATTTTCTTCGAAATTCACTAATTTTAAATAGATATATAATGTGTTTGCATAAATTAATCAATATTATTATATAGAATTTCCGTAAATGTCTTCGTGCATAATGGTTTTCTTACATTATATTCATCGAATATTTAAGAACTAAACGTGATAAAGTGAACAAAATTTAATATTATAAAATTAAGAATATTATTTCTTGGACATAAAAAGTGAAGATTTCCATAACAATAACTTAATGTTAATGGAACGGAAATTTGGATTTTTACGCTTTAGAGGTAGAATAAAACACAATTTTCAAGAATTCATTTCGACACCTTGCTTGTTCGACACCTCTTCCTATACCACACTACCCACATCCTAGGATTATACGATGATAAAAATACAGCACATCGTAGTGAAAACATAATATTTTTTTGAGTTACTTGGCAAATGCATTAACGTTGACTTACCTCATTTTTATTACATATGGAAAGATACGAAAAAAACTTGTCACCCCCTTTATAAACTCAAAATGGATTGCTTTTTTTTTGACAAAAATAGAAACTTGTATACAACTAAAATAGATTCAATGTTATGTACATTTTTAATCGATTTGGACTTTTGCATCTTAATTGTTTCTAAAGTTTTATTTTTTTAATGGTTTTAAATTTAAAAACTGATTTTATTGTTTTATCAAACAAAATTAACTTCGTATAAAATATTATATTAACAGTGTTTTTTTTTTTATTTTGTAGTCTGCATTTCATTTAAATAAAACAATGTATCAAAATATAATAATCATACAATATATTGTGAGCTGTGTCGAACATCATATTCAATTGTATCGATTCAATCGTATTAAGTAAATAATTAAATAGTTGTTTAAAGTTTGAAGGATTGATGAGAGACGATTTCATAAAATGATATATCCCCTCTTCTGTTATCTATACAGTACATACAATAAACAATATAAACAACTTTACAATAAGTTTAGTTAAGTAAACTAAACTAAGATAAACTATATTGTATATTATGTTTTTAACATTTTAACGTTACGCTTAAATTCTTATAGAGAATTTGATATGATTTCTAAATCATAAAACGAAGGTTATCTTGTACAGTCAAAGTGAATCGAAAAATAACCACTTTAGTGGAACTGTGAGCGGAACAGTATTCGATTTATTCGTATAATATGCAAAGTGATMTACCAAGCATGCTMATTCCGTTTCTAATCTTTAATTATATATTTACCAATAAACTATAAATCAAATTCTGATGTTAGGTATTTTTAAGCACTTTTTAAATGCCTAGATTTGTATACCATTTAAGCGTTTAATTATTTTAATCCAATTCACATTCATTTTTTTCAAATTAGTAAGATCATTTTTTTATATAAATTGTCAAGCAGATAATTATTTTTGAAAATTAAGTAGGAATTTAAATCAATTTTCGTGTGCTGATAGGAAAACTAATTTTATTTAATTTTTTTTTTACCTAAATATTAAAGGCGTATTAAGTTAAAAATAATTATACGTTCATTGTCAATTATCTTTACAAAATATTTAAAATGCAGAATTCAAATTCTGAAACGAAAAAATTATATTCTAACGCACGAAAAAATCACAATATTTATACTGTCTTATGCACATATTGGATGTTATACGTGTATTTTAACCAATTATAATAATTCTCAGAGATTTAATAATATAAATACATAATAATACATTGTTTCTCATATAGAAATGTATGGATTAAAAAAATTCAACTCGTAGTCATGGTATATGACCATAAAATTTAAATATTTTACGTATAATCTATATAACGTATATATATATATATATATGTTAGAGTTAATGTATTAAATTCAGTTATTCTACAGAGTTATATGTACTTTCAGTTAATGTATTGAATAAATCTATAAATACATACTTCAACTATTTATTCTACATACTAACTATATAGATATTTTATAAACTAACAATAATGGTTTAATTAATGCATTTAAAACCATTATTTAATCAACCTATAGCGTGTGTCTCAAAAAACAGGATGCACTTTATCACTCATTAGTCATTACCCTATAAATATCTTTCAATTATGTTTGCGTTAGGGTATAATATAAAAA